TTTTCCCTGAGGGCCAAATTATTTCAAGTGTGTCAAGCCAAGGGCCAAAACATGCCTTTTTTTTGTGTTGTTGTTGTTTTGTTTTTTATTATTATTTTTGTGCAAGCTGCTTCATGTGCAGATGATGTTATTGCTATTATTATTATTATTAGTAGTAGTAGTAGTATCAGCAGCAGTAGTAACAATTTGTAGCATCCCCGACTGAATGATGGTCGTAGGCTTTGACTGATGGTTCATAGTGTTCTATTTCAGTGAACCTTATTCACTGATGAACTCACGTTAGAGCTACAAATGAAAACAAAAAAAAAAAATACAATCTCCTTTTAGACCAATGAACTTATTAAATCATAGCCCCTTGAAAATGTATACAAACCCAAATCATGTAATTTTAAGCTGTTATAATCCAAGTGCAATCATAGAAATCACACTTTTATGACGCATTTTAATCCACTGACAATCTCAAATAAAGAGCTATATGTGATCGGTTTTAACTTAAATTATGATTTTAACAAATCACTTTTGTATCAAATAAGCAGCTTTAAAGCACAAATGCTATCAAAGAAAATACAAGGCACACAATTACATTCTTTAGAGAAATAAACAGACTTATGAATTAACCACGGACCGACGAAGTAGCTTAGCCAATGTTGATTAGCACGATTACAAAAGACGCCACAACTTGAACTCTGAGCTAAACCTTACATTAAACTAAATGAACACAAACCTTGTGCCATATCAGCCAGGAGCTAAGTAAACACAACAATCACTTTCGTCTCACTCCTTGGACGTAGTCCTCTACACACCGGCGCACTTTCACATACCGACACAGCGCTAAAACTCTGGAAGTTCTTTCGAGCGAGGCGCTTTCAAAATAAAAGCTCAGAATTTGACGCCTGGTATAATTAATAAGCAATAACATGACCTTAACAAATGCTCAAAAAATGAATAAGTAAACATAAAAACAACATGTTTATAGAAATATTATGTTCATACTATAGGTCATTTACACAATTTAGGCGTGAAACTCTCAAACCTAGAGGCTCACACGAAAAAAGAAATTGCATTGTAAACAAAGGAAGTCCAAAACCAACCATTTAATTACCTAAATGCTCTTTTAAAACAATCACATT